ATCTTATTTCAAATTAGGTATAGGATATGCTACATAAAAGTAGTTAGGATTTTTAAGAGAAAATAAAAAAAAATAAATAAAAAATTGGGTACTAATTTGAAATAAGAAAGTTGGGCCACGCACAGGATGTCTAAGGCACCCTGTATATGCAAAGAAGACTGTTTTCAAAAATGTATTCCAGACCATTAAACTTTTATTCAAGACACTTTTTTCGAAAACGTCGAGTAAAAAAGATACAGAGGATGTCAATATATATACCTAATCTAACAAACCCTGTATATGCCGGAGGAGTAATAATTGCTCAATATTTGTCTGTTTCATCTTGGCTCTGCCAAAAATCGTAAAATTTAGTGAAATGTAAAATATTCTTACCGCATTTTGGTAGCTGTATTAGTCAAAAGATGATTTTTCCATTTTATGAATCCCCCCAAAACTAACTGGGTTCACGGGCTACTGGCATAGAATGTTTTTACCAGATTTGAATGAAATCGTACAATAAAAGAATTTTTGCAACATACTTCTGGATTTTTGCCCACTGTGCGACGATTTAAATTCTTTAAATTTTTGAAATACCTCCGACTTTTGTTTCATAAAACAAATTACAACAAAACCACTGTACTGATCTTTAAATATTAAAAAATACTTTGATCCGCTTGGTGATTCTACATTGATGGGGCCACATACGTCTGTGTGTATCATTTCACCAGCCTTGAAATATCACCAGAATGAAAATTTTGCCCTCAGCGTACGTAACGAAACACTTAAAAATATAAAAATTATTCAAGCTAATTCCAATCCCACTTTTTTCCATTGCCACGGTAAAGGATTTTCTGCCATAAAATACTTAGCGTATGTGCGTCTTACTTCCTATGCGGAACTTTTTGTAATTATCACTTCCCAAATGTCTAACCGATGGCAGATTATCTACGTGGTTTCTCCATTGTCGAAAAGTAATATTTCCCGTGTTCAGATCCTCTCTATCCACAGTATTTTCAGGAAAATAAGTATTTGGGCTGCTTTTCTCAACCAGTTGTGGAGACTACACGCTGCCAAAATAACATCGTCAACTGCACTTTCTTTTAATTGAATTGGTCTTGAAAATATTCTCAAGCGCCACACAGGAATACCAAATGCATCCTCTGATACTTGCATACTCTTCTTGCGCGAGAGAGTCGGTAGTTGAATATCCTTTCAGTATTATTAAGCTGTGACTTACTGTAGGGCTTCATTAAGTTGGTTCTTCATGGAAAGGCATCGTCCCCAACAATGACCGAATTTTCAGGCATATTAAGAGTGTTATTTTCCATTGCGATGTTAGGCTTCAACCTAGCTGTTTGAAGAGATATTTATATTTTTTGATAAATGTTTTAACTACGCCTATGTTGTATCCTGTGGTATCATAACGCACGTTTTTATTCTTACCGATTAAAGCTTGATTTTCATGCATCTGTTGTCCGACGATACGATAATACGGTATTAATTTTATTGGTTGAATTTAAAGACTTCGGTTGGTTAAAAACGGTTAACCAATCGAAGCCTTTCAATTCAACCAATAAAATTAATATCGTATCATCGTATCGTCCGACAATGGATGCATGAAAATCAAGCTTAACTCACCGATGCATCAACAGCGAAATTTCGATGTTTTTAATCTCATCGATGAAACTTCGGTGAATTCCATCGATCTGTTTTTAATGTAATCTGTTATTTATCGGTGAAAATACGATTAGCCATCAAAGTCGTCGAGGTTCAAGTGCGATGAAGCCGATTTAAATTATAATTCTAACCTCAAACTGAGAAATAGCATTTTTGACGTCTTGTTTACATATAAATATTTTAAAAAATGGGAGATAATGATGAACTAAAAACAGACTACGCTATATGATATTTTTTTTTGATGTTCAAGTTGACTGTGAAACTTACGGTCGCTTAATTGTTGGTAAGTAGCGGGTAAAAAGTGACTTTTCTTTGATAATATACCTTTGTTGCAGATGAAAATATTCGAAATGAATACGCTAAATCAGTATATGAATCAAATTTCATGCCAAATAATAATGCAGGGCCAGGTTCAAGCCAACAGTCGTCTACAGGGTTGTTCACCACATACGACACGGAGTATTGTAGCTAAACGATTAGATTTTTACAAATTGTAAGTTTTGGGTTCGTTGAAGGACTATTAGAACTACAATTTAAAAATATTTTACAAGATACAGAGCCAACCAATAGAGTCTTTTAAATGGGACAACAAGTCAATAAAATTATTATTAAATATAAGGCTTTGCATGGAGAAAGATATTTGCACACCTAGTTGCAAAAAAAAATTGTGGGACAAGGTGGCAAATGAATTAAATGAAGTGCTAGGATCCCATCGTGTTATAGGAGATGCATGCGATTCCAAATATAAGAATCTGTTGGGAACTTATAGAGTAAACAAGAAAAGCAGAATACAACGGGGAAAGTGCAATAAAGTGGGAATTTTTGATACATTGGATGAAGTTTCGGTTGCATAATGGCAAAATACTAAATAAAATAATATTTAACAATAAAATTATAGTAAACATGATGCAAAAATAATAGTTATTTGCGATAATTTATGAGCTAGCACACAGAGGTCGTCGCGAGGAAATTTGACTGTTACAACTAGTGATGCTTATGTTCATCCTAAGGAAAACAAGAAGAAAAAAGAAAAAAATGTCAATAAATAAGTATATATCTTTGAAGCTTGAAAAAAGACAAGGAGAAACAAAAGTAACAAAGAGAATGGGACGAACGAAAGCGGCAGGAAAAAAAAGAGCTTAAATTGAAAGAAATAGATGCTATAAATAATCTTGCAGCAGCGATACTAAGTACAAATAAAAACAAAGACTGTTGATTCATTATTGCTACTTGTATTTATATATCAAAAGATGAAGAATTGTCTGTTTCAATGTTTGTTTTCCAGTTTAGGATATTTCAAAATTTACTTTGTTATCAATAATGAGCATTTAAAATTTTTATCATTAGTTTTCATACTTTAAGGATTAAGATAATATACTTACGTTTTACTATAACATATTTTTGTGAGAAATTTTGCTTTATGTTTGTGATATATCTGCCAGTAATGAGCATTTAATACTTGATATTTTTAGGATTAGAATGATATACCTACCAAGTTTTGATACAACATATTTTTGGAAGACTTGATTTATATTTGTGATATTCCTGCCTATAATGAGCATTTAAGACTCTTACTATTGATGTTAAATAGTTTAAGATCAATGTGCTTAAGTTTTTGGATAACATTTTTTGCAGATAATTTTCCTTTGTGATTATCTACCAATAATGAGTGTTTTAAGGCTGTTACTGATATTTTCTAACATTATTTTTAGAATTAAAATAGTATACTTAAGTTTTGTTATGTTTTTTAAAAGTATATTTCTTATGTTTGTTTGTGCCCACAAAGAACATTATTTAAGATTGTTCATGTTTTGCAAATAAGTACATATTGTTTACATCTCAGTTTTTGCATGACATCTTTTTGTAGAGAATGTTGTTTTATTTTATTAAAGGCATGATGTGATATTAACAAGTAAATTGTTAAGAATTCTACTGTTATTTTTGAGAAATATACTGTTGATTAGTAGAGTTTATCTTTTGCTGTTATATGAAAATGAAACAATCCAAGAAATGTTTACAAAATTATATTTGCTGAAAAGTAACTATGATACAAACCCAACATTAAAATTTAACAAGACATGACTAAAATATAAAAAAAAATAATAAAAACATCAATATTTTAAAAAATGCTCTAATTGCACAGTAAGCTGTTCCCTCTTTTGTTTAGCTCCAGCATTAATAACAATATTTTTAACTTATTAATGGAACATTATCAATATCTTGTTCTATAAATTCTTCCTCTGCCTCAAGCTCTACCTGGTCTATATTTTCTCTAATTAAAATATTATGTTACATGCAGGTGGCTATTATGATAAACTTAAAGTACGAGAGATTTTGGATATTTAAAAATTTTAGTCTTCGCCAAATTCCTTTTAACCCGGCGTTAGTCGCTAGACATATTTTCGCGCCGTTAGTCGCGCGTGAGCATTTTGCTCACAGCGCAAAAAACGCATTTTTATAAAATATTCAGGAATTTTGCTTAAAAACACATGATCTTATTAAATTCTTTATTAACAGAAGATAGGTAATACAAATTAAATTACGTTGTTATTCGTCAGACTCGTTTTCAGCGCAAATTTTAGAAGTAAAGGTGGTGTGTTCTGTGCAAATCGGTCGCTGGCAAGCAACAAAACGTTTTCTGGTGCGCCTGTTTTTACTTCGAGGACAAATTTGACAGAATCTTTCATCATTCGGATCTGCTGCTCTTTGCTGTAAAAATGGCAACCCAGCTAGTTTGTGTATAGAAGCACGTAGGGGTAGACTGAGATTCTGTACATTATCACGATTTACCACATGACGTCTTACAAGCTGCAAAGCAAGCTCTTTTAGAAAAATACGTCGCATAGATATAACGGCATTATCACTCTCATTGTTAGCTTTGTATATAACGTAAGAGTTAACAGCTCCTATGTTGAGCATTGAGAAAAAACCGTCAAAGGCCATCTGCGGCTAATACGCAATATTGAATATAAACTTTTCATTTCATCGACTACATCCACAGCACCTTCTGTCACATTATAAAATGTGATCATTTCTGGTTTGAATTTTTCCCCTGTATCTTGATCAATCGCGTCATCATCATGCATCGTCGAGAGAACCAAAACATTTTTCCTGTTTTTGGGAACATAAGAAACAAGTACGCAGGTCTCCGAAAATGCAAACATGCTACTACATTGCTTTCTTTCTTTGATAATAAGAAATTCTGGGGAATTTCCTTTTTATTTTTTTTCTCAGCGTCCCGACTAGTGTCGTTCTGTATAAGTTTGTAAGTCCTAATGCTAAAGGCACTGACGTAAAGTAGTTATCGATGGTTAAATTACGACCGGTATTTAGTATTGGTTGAGCTAATCGCTTGATAACAGACGCTGCTTTATTATCACGTTGAATGGGCCATCCGCTTGTTTGCCGGCATATATTTCTAAATTGGAGGTATAGAAAGTACGAGCATCTACCATCGCATAAATTTTAATGCCATATTTTGCCGGTTTATTAGATATATACTGGCGGAACATACAACGGCCTCTAAAGGCATCAAGCATTTCGTCAATAGTGACATATTCCATCACTTGATAGTTTGCCGTGCATCGTCCTACAAAATCGTCAAACAGAAATATGATAGGAGCTAGGTTATAGGTCTTTAGGCAGTCTTTTCTGTCATCATTATCAAACCGTAAAGCTTGTAAAAGTTCGTAAAACCTTCTTTTACTCATAGTAGCAGTGAAGCACTCGGTGAAGTACCGTCTTTGGTCCATAAAAATCTTAAATATTCTATAATCCATAATATTTATTTCATATTAAGTGTTACTAACTTGAATTAACATAGAATGTGTCCCTTTCCGGTTATAATAAGAATCGTCACCTCTTGGTCCGTTAATTAATATGTGTGACCCATCTACACAATATTAGGAAACAATGAGTTTCCCCGTAAGTTGTTAAAATCTAGTATCTTTCTTCGGCCATATTATATAACGATCTCGAGCAGCATATATTCTTTTCACTGTTTGTATAAATATCGTGTGGGCATGAGCTCGACTTAGACCAAATCGGCCGCTATTCCTCTAAACGATTCTTGGTTTGAAAGAACCCAGAGCGTCAACAAGAAAGCGTGTTGCGGTGACACCGATGGTTTTGTAACATTTAATTTTATTGGTTGGAGTTGTAGGTCTTCCAACACGTTCTAACACGTTCTTCTTCGTACGTCTTCCAACACGTTCTAAAAAGTGATACAGATACAAACAGATTTATTTATATTGTCTTACCTCCACAACAGACCTCGTAAGTCTAAAGTGTGACTTAAAATCCATGTCACAGTATCGTGGAACCACTGACAAAATATAATTTTCAATTTTCGCATACATTTTTGGTTGGTTTCTCACGAGATGGATTAAGAGTAAATCTTCATCCGATGAACTTTCTTAGAAGATGCCTCTATAATTTTTCTAACCAATTGTACACTGCCCAGTCATTGTTTATTAATGTTTATTCAGAACTGCTTAACAAGTAACAACCATAAAGATAAAGATGGTAACAACTCACTCTTCCACAATACGGTTATTTATTATGTTTTCAATATTTCTGTCGTCTGTTGTCAGTAGTCTGTTGTCAATAGTTCTGTTGTGTTTTTCTGACAGTAAAATACACCGGTAGTTTCCGATGAATTTTGATGACGCAGTAGAAATCGTGTGCTCACCGCTAAGTGGACATTCTGCATGTAGTCAAATGTTATTACTTCCAGGTCATCACAAATCTTGCACTCATCAGTAGATTGCTTTAACGATAAATAAAACTTTTTGCTCTTCTTTTATCCACCGCGAGTTCGGCAGATGCTGTTCTTTTAGCTGCACCTCCTAGTGAAGGACTTTTTATTTTATGTCAAATTCTTCACATTTGCAACAAGTGTCTATTTGTGGACGGCCAAAATGAATGTCAAAAAGTCCATGAAAATATTTCCCAAAGTAAGAATATCGAATTTTGGTTGTTGGATATTTTACTCTGAACATATCAAACATAATTTTCATATTGAGTTTAGCATCAAGATATAGATAGGTTTTACTGCTGTAATGAGTTTACTTAACAGGGAATGATTCAATATGCTGACGAATTAACACGTTGTTCTCTTCTGAAATAGCATTGCCTTTTATGTTGTGTCCACGCCTGTTATACGGAGTTATATTTTGTTTTAGAAGACCTTTTAAACTTTTTAACCTTTTAATGGTAATGCTAAACAAACAAAGAAATGCCTTTGACATACTTTTCTTCGTTTACCATCAACAGGAATATAGTGATGAAAGGAGCAAGTTTTTTCCCTCGAATTTTGTGGTTGATATTTTCTTTTTATGTTAACTACTTCTAAAAGACCTTGCAAATATAAGTCCTGATCATACTTAGTGTTAAGAGCATGAAAGCGAGTAAAAGTCCATCTTTTATATCATCATTCAATTTTCAAAGCATTTCATTCGTCAGCTAAAAAAAAAAGAATGGTCAGTACATAATTACAGAAAGAATTTATCTATTACAAACTTACCGGCATCCATCTCAAGCTTTCTTGCTGCTACAGTTTTTCCTTTATAATTTACGTAAGTTCTCCCCTGAACTCTAGCTTTCTTGATAAAACTCCTTTGTAATTTTCGTCATTTCTAATCCCTCGTTTTTCTTTTCTTTGTAGCTTCTCTACTGATCTTTCTGACTGGGTATCGTCGGTATCATTCATTATTATTATTTTATAAAGATATTTTTTGTTAATAATAAACACTCTCAAATATAGGCTTTGACACAACAATATTATGACAGTATTTTCAGGTAATTCTGCTTAATAGCTGATGCTTACCTCGAAAGAGCTAGTAAATATTTATATTGTGAAAGGAACCAACTGTGTTACTTTTTAATATATTGAAGACTTCAAGCATCAAATTTTATAGATATCTATGAAATTGATTCTCTTCACAATGTATTCATTTGGCTTAATATGACATTTTATTTTGTTATATTATCAAAGCTGATTTAATTTTTCCCGATCCTTTAAACATCTACAAAGTCTACTTTCAAGTGATCTCGAGAACGAAGCGCCGAAATATAATTACAAGATTAAACGAACTTGTGAAGTTCGATCGTAATTATATGAGGCGCTTCGTTCGAAGAAATCACTCCCACCGCACCCTATTTTATCATGGACCAAGAATCAATGTGAATAATCCATGAAACCCAAGGAAAAATTAGTAAATCAACTTTTTTCCCGATTTCGAATAAAGTTCTCAATCGGTTCTTTAAAAGTATGAAGTTAGTAACGTATAGGTGAGGTGATGAGTAGCCGAGAATACCACAGAGTAAATTTTTTATTCTTTAAATATTGTGGCCACAGAGCGTACATAAGCCGTACTACAAAGTCTACTTTCAAGTGATCTCTTCGAACGAAGCGCCTCATATAATTACGATCGAACTTCCCAAGTTCGTTTAATCTTGTAATTTTCGCATGCTTTTTTGGTTGGTTTCTCACGAGATGGATTAAGAGTAAATCTTCATCCGATGAACTTTCTTGTTCCTCGCTGGACGAATATGCCTCTATAACTTTTTTAACCAACTGCCAATCATTATTTATTAATGTTTATTCACAACTGCTTAACAAGTAACAACCATAGATAAAGATGGTAACAACTCACTCTTCCACAATAACGTTATTTATTATGTTTTCGATATTTCTGTCAAATGTCACAAAATTATTCGGAGTCTTTTTCTGACAGTAAAATACACCGGTAGTTTCCGATGAATTTTGATGACGCAGTAGGAATCGTGTGCTCACCGCTAAGTGGACATTCTGCATGTAGTCAAATGTTATTACTTCCAGGTCATCACAAATCTTGCACTCATCAGTAGATTGCTTTAACGATAAATAAAACGTTTTTGCTCTTCTTTTATGTACCGCGAGTTCGGCAGATGCTGTTCTTTTAGCTGCACCTCCTAGTGAAGGACTTTTTATTTTAAGTTCAAATTCTTCACATTTGCAACAAGTGTCTATTTGTGGACGGCCAAAATGAATGTCAAAATGTCCATGAAAATATTTCCCAAAGTAAGAATATCGAATTTTGGTTGTTGGATATTTTACTCTGAACATATCAAACATAATTTTCATATTGAGTTTAGCATCAAGATATAGATAGGTTTTACTGCTGTAATGAGTTTACTTAACAGGGAATGATTCAATATGCTGACGAATTAACACGTTGTTCTCTTCTGAAATAGCATTGCCTTTTATGTTTTGTCCACGCCTGTTATACGGAGTTATATTTTGTTTTAGAGTTTTAGAAGACCTTTTAAACTTTTTAACCTTTTAATGGTAATGCTAAACAAACAAAGAAATGCCTTTTGACATACTTTTCTTCGTTTACCATCAACAGGAATATAGTGATGAAAGGAGCAAGTTTTTCCCTTTGAGTTCCCGGAATTTTGTGGTTGATATTTTCTTTTTATGTTAACTACTTCTAAAAGACCTTGCAAATATAAGTCCTGATCATTCTTAGTGTTAAAAGCATGAAAGCGAGTAAAAAGTCCATCTTTTATATCATCATTCAATTTTTCAAAGCATTTCATTGGTCAGCTAAAAAAAAGAATGGTCAGTACATAATTACAGAAAGATTTTATCTATTACAAACTTACCGGCATCCATCTCCAAGCTTTCTTGCTGCTACAGTTTTTCCTTTATAATTTACGTAAGTCCTCCCCTGAACTCTAGCTTTCTTGATAAAATTCCTTTTGTAATTTTCGTCATTTCTAATCCCTCGTTTTCTTTTCTTTGCAGCTTCTTCTACTGATCTTTCTGACTGGGTATCGTCGGTATCATTCATTATTATTATTTTATAAAAGATATTTTTTGTTAATAATAAACACTCTCAAATATAGGCTTTGACACAACAATATTATGACAGTATTTTCAGGGTAATTCTACTTGACAGCTGGTGCTTACCTCGGTGGCGCTAGTAGCCATTTATATCAGAAAGGAACTAACTGATATCACTTGGTACCTTTCTCAAATAAATGTTCGAAACTAGATCGAATTTACTGACATTGCATTTAAGGAAGATTTTTTCAAAGGTGCATTTACCTTAAAAGAATGCAATGAGCTGAAAAACTCAGAATGGCCGAAAATGTTAGTTAGTCCCTTTCTGAAATAAACGATTCAATTATATAGTTAAAATATTATATTAGATTGTTAATATATTATTTTTGGTTCTTATTAAGAAATACATAAAACACCTAATAGTAAAAAACCTTTTTTTAAAATGTATTAATATTTTTTAGTTATTATTAATTATTGTGAATGTATCAAAAATTGAAAAAAAACTAATGAAATTAAAATCATCTCTATTTGATTCCGAACTACAAAATTCCCTCTCTATTTTCTACACAAAGCAGGCGTGGCTTCTTAGTAAACGAATGTAGGTTACTTTGCTAGTCCGCTGTAAAATTCGCCTATATGATAAATCTAACGAAAAAATTAGCCTGGCGCATTCGCCAAAATGTAATTTTCACATTTGCATTGTTTGTCGCATCTGTTTAGGTTAGTCTGTAGTAGTAGGTTAAGACATGCTGTAACTAATTGCCAAAATTGTTATCATATGTCGGAATTCATAACACTTGATGAAAACTTGCTTGCTTTCAGAGGAAGGTGCTAAAGCTACATTTTAGATATATGAAATGACGTTCGCGGATTTAGGACCAGGAAATAAACAACCTTTTATTTAAAACATTGCCGACATTTCGACGTGCATTTTCGTCTTTATCAAGGCTCTTTTCAGCTAAAAGGTTCTGTCATTAAGTATCTGAGATAAATGTTCTTTGAGTAACAATATTGTTCACATGAATGCGTGTAGAAAATACGTAGAAGAAAAACTATTGTGTTGAACTAAAGAGGAAAAAACTACAAAGGAACAAATGTTTCGCCAAACATCGGATCGAGAATCGTATTTTAATCGGCAAACTGAATTTCTAGAAATTAGGTTTAACAAAGAGAAGTAACGTTTGGGAGTACTACTTCATAATTGGGCATTGTACAGGGTGTCCCATTTTTCTTGAAATCATAAGGTATCTCCATTATTAGTGCACATTATCTGCTTGAAATTTTGTGGTCAGCGAAGTAATTTTTTCCAAAATAAATATACTTTTTTTCAAATTGACCACAAAATTTTTGTCTGCAATGGTTTCTTTTATAGAGTGCTTGATTTAATTTTGTCCTTGTGTCCCGGTAGTGAAGTTTCTTGCATGAACCATTGTATGCAGAATATCTTCTGATGCTAGAGGCGATTTCATGCAGTTATAAATGGTACTTCATCTTGTTTTTGCTGGCAGCACTAGACTTTGTACTTTTTTTGCTTTTTGGACCAGTTTTAAATCATGATTTTCAACATGGTGGCTCTTAAAAAAAAGGACAATGTTTGCAACTGCTTATAAAAGAGGATAATTCCTCCATTGGCAATCTATTGGCCCTTTGCTTATTATCGTTTCCTAAAATATCTTTAACCAGCAAATGAAGACAGTGACAAACGCATCAACGAAAAAAAAATTTTTAGGTACTTTTTTTCTAAAATTTGCCAGTCCATTTTGTTAGCTGCTGCGTTATCAGTCACACTTCCAACAACTTCGGATTGCTCTTTTAAACTCTCAATAATACGGCTTGTGTCTTCGGCTAACCATTGCCTTGTATGACCTTGGGCTCCCGTGCTTACAGGCTCCAAAAAAACGTGGCCGATGGTGAAGCAGCCATATAGTTCACAATTGGTTCACCTAAAATCCCCCAAAAAAATATTTTTTTTCTTCCTTGTGCATGCGGTTAAATGTTGTTACCATTAACATTTGTCCAAGAGTTAGTGACCACACAAATATGTTTTGGAAGTGCTTTTTGGACTTCGTCTCTTATTGTATTGAAGCATGAATCTAAATAACCTGTTGCTAGTTCTCTTCGTGTAGGGAAAACTGTCCCTAAAATAGTAAGCATTTTAAGAACATATTTAGAGTAAAAAATAAAAATGTGGATGTATACCTGGTCTACAAATATTCAGAGCCCTGCCCAAGTGTTCATCCTCCACTCTTAAATGTTCATTCTTAGTGTTAAGAGCATGAAAGCGAGTAAAAAGTTCATCTTTTATATCATCATTCAATTTTTCAAAGCATTTCATTGGTCAGCTAAAAAAAAGAATGCTCAGTACATAATTACAGAAAGAATTTATCTATTACAAACTTACCGGCATCCATCTCCAAGCTTTCTTGCTGCTACAGTTTTTCCTTTATAATTTATGTAAGTCCTCCCCTGAACTCTAGCTTTCTTGATAAAATTTCTTTTGTAATTTTCGTCATTTCTAATCCCTCGTTTTCTTTTCTTTGTAGCTTCTTCTACTGATCATGATTAATGATTAATTTTATTCAAAAAATGGTTCTCCCGGAATAAAATTGTACAGAGTGTCCCATTTTCACGTTGTGCCCGTTTTATAAAAAAAACATTGCCATGTTTAATTGGATTTTTTTCTAATCAGAATCTGTCATCAAAGGAATACTGAAGTTTTTCATTGACATTTGTTTTTTCTTTATTGCACCTGTTTCGGGTGCAGTGGCAGTGGAGGTGGTCTGAGTCTGGCCTAGGTATATTAAATAAATGCAGTTCAACAATAGCTTACAACATCTGAGATACATCTATCAATTTAAAATTATAACTCACCTTGACGA